AATGAATAACTCTACTATTTCTATACTTTAATGATATGTACATAATCACTCATCAAGTGTCTTGAAGTCTGATGATATCTTTTGAAGATTTTTCAAGTCTCTGTTGTTGAAATCTTGAAGTTCACTGTTTCTCCGTCGGAAATAAATTGAAGAATAATTAATATTAATAATCATTAAAACTATTTGGAAAACTAATCTTATAGAAAAAATTCAATAATCCATCGATATGAATTTAGCAAAAAAAAAATATGTTAAACTAATGCGTGATCTCATTTATCAAACATTCATAGAGCAATAAAACGAAGTTTATTACTTAATAAAATTAATCAAAGAGAATAAGAATCAGTTTGCTAAAGTTCATCAAAAAAGAAAAAACAGAATAAATTAGAAATTCAAATCTTAACCGAAGAAAACATTTCGAGCAAAAGTCAAAAAATATCACTAATCAATTCACATTAAGTGTATAAATGAGAAAATTTTTGTCAAATGAAATCTCGATGAATCGATAGAAAAATTCAATGAATCAAGAAAAGCGTTCATCAGCAGAAAAATTAATCGCATTGAAGAAAGTTTTTTTATTATTCATCATTAAAATCCATATAAAGCAATAACACAACACAAGTTTTTTTTTATTAAGATCTCTTCCTGAGACAAAGTCAGTTTCGGTCAAATTTATTAATTTTGTGATTTAAAGTTCGTTAGATAGAACGAAGTGTCTACTCTAGAATGCACCATTGTTTATTGATTTTATTAATCAGATTTAAGGATAATAAATAGACTTTTTTACATCCTCACTCAGATGAAAACAACGTTTTTTTTAAATAGAAACTTTGATTTTTAAAGTCTTTTCAGGTTCACTGTTGACTTTTGGTAGTGATGGACATGGCATCATGCATCCCTCAGCATTATAAGTGAATAGAACAGTCGAACATAAAAAACAACAGAATGAAATGAAAGTGACAAACATTGATTCATAACTATGTCAACGTTAGTAGAATTGATATCGAAAAGTTTTTCATTATTAATTCACCAATATACAATATCGTCTGAATCACTCTTGATTTTGTTTTTTGTTTGGTTTTAATAGAATTTTCTTTATCGCATTCTCAATCACGATGAATAAAACATGTTTTTACAATGTTTTATATAACTTGAAAATACAACTTGTATATGATATATATATCGGTTAAGATAAATTTATAATTTTTTTTGTTTTAAACAAGTCGTTTTTGTTGATATCTCAGTCAATGTAAATATGTCCAGGTAAAAAATGAAAAAATCTCTTGTACACCTCTTAATATGTCTTGATTTAATTCGTTCTAATCGTTGAATGATGGGAAATTACTCGAAGATTCTTTTTATATTAATTTATGAAAAAAAAAGAAGTCTTAATTTTCAGTGTTGAAACTTATTTTGCATTTTTCTAACAATAGAACTTTTGATTTTGACGCTTCGGTACGCCTCAGATATCTCTATCACTTTAAACTCTAGAAAGCTGGAATTGGTATCAAAATGAAGACAAAAGTTAGCTCTACAATTTAACAGAGCCAGATTTTTCGATTTTTCCTTTAATGTTCATTAAGAAGTGATCATTCCCGATCCACATCCTTCGTCGAAGTTTTCCTTATTTTTTATCAGACAAGTTTTCTAGAAAAATAAGCTAGGAGATAATCGAAAAATCAGACTCTGTAAAGTTCTATCACTATATCTTAGCTACATTGTAAAATAAACTGAAGTTTTTTAGCTTTTAAAGTGTAGGAAAACTTTAGATTGTACGTTTAATTGCTGATAAAAGTTATAAAAGAGTAAAATTTACTCTGTAGTAGTATCGACAATAAATGTTTATCTATTTCATCAATTAAGTCAGTCGTCTAGGAAAAAAACTATAACTATATAAGAAGAATGTGCTTTTATTTAGAATAGTTTTATGGAATATATCAATTGTTCCGTATAAAACTGCAATTTTTATATTTCATATATATTCGAAAATATAAGAACATTTCTTCTTCAATATATTGATCAAAATTACAATAGAATATTTTCTTTTTTAATTTTATCGTCTCGCTTGAAAATCAAAAGAAAAAAATTTTCTAATTTCTATAGTAATCACTATTACGTATATTTTCTTATCAAACATTTTTAACTGTGTATTGTAGCTTTGCATGTGTCAATACTGAAACTATCTTTAATTATTAAAATATCGTTCTTGTTTATATTTTGCTTATCTCTGTGAATAAACATTTAAATAATTTCATGAATAATGTTTTTGTTTTTTAAAATTGATTTATGTTATTCTTGTTAATGCCAAAGAGTTTTGTTTTCTCGATACTAATTAATTTAGTTCTACAAGGAAAAATAATGAAACTAATGAAGATACAACAATCCTAAATCCATTTGCAAAAAAAACAACAAAATTCAAATCAGCGCTCATTGTACTTTCATATTATTAGCTAAAAACTTCGTTTGTATTCATTTGTTTCTTTATTCTTTTCTGATATGAAAATTTTCTCTCGACATTAGTTATATATTATCATGAGCAATATACTAACAAGGAAACATTCCCAGGTATCGGAACACTTTTTAGTCGGGATTTTGCGCATCTTGTAGTCCTTAGGAAGATGTGTATATGATAAAGAAAAGTTTGAGTTTCTGGTTTGCTTCTGAAAAGATCCAACGTTTTTAGGGAATTTTTGCTGTAGGACCCTATTTTTTGAGTAAGATCATATTTTGAAATTTCGACGTGAAACTTAACCAACATAAAGACCTCAATCAGACTGACTTGCATTAAAAATATTAGAATTTTCGGACTATGTCTCTCCAACATATGAAGCTTTCAAAAAATACATTCTGTATATATTATATACGGAAAAGGATCTATACCTTGAACATTTCGTATCTAGAAGAAACTTAGTCCAAAAATTCTGAAATCTTTTATGCACGCTAGTCTGATTGTGGTTTTTATGTAGGCGAAATTTCAGATGGAAATTCAAACATATGATCTTACTCCAAAAGTAGAATGATACAGCGAAAATTCACTAAAAATGTTTGATCTTCTCAGAAACAAGCCAGAAATCCGATTCTTTTTTAACCATAGACACAGCTTACTAAGGGTTACGCGATGCGCAAAATTCTGACTCAAAAGCATTTCAATACCTGGGAATGTTTCTTCGTGAGTACTTTTATTTTAATTCGAATTTCAAAATATAAACACTTTTTTTGACGATAACATTGATGTTTTATATTTATTTTAATACAATATTGGATTTTTTTGAAGCTAATGTAATTATATTCTTGTTTTCCGTTATACTATGAAACTCATAGAAATATTTCTTGTTTTTTTGTTTACCAATCACATTGATTGTTTTACTCAGAAAAATTCAATTTTCATCATCAATGTTCTTTATTATTGTGCTTTCTATTGACATAAGACAAGAATTCTTTTTCGTCTTGTATTTCATTATTCATTGTCATAACGTTCGACATCGAATCATCAGCCGTATCATTCAAAGTCTTGTACACTGTACGCAATAAGAGAAAATGAAGTTTCAAATGTGTAAGACGTTCACGGATGTTTTATCCGAAATATTCAAATGATCATCGAAATGAATTGAGTAAACAATTAGAAGAAATTATTGTAGTACATGATCTTACGCAACAAACTCTTATTCAATAAATTGAAGATTCTCAACAATATTCTCTATTAAAGATAATTAATCAATGGGAACAAGAATCGATTGATAAAATTCATCAAACAGCAGAAGAAGATAGAAATAAATTAATTAAAATCACTATTGAACAGACAATCAACATCAAACAAAAACTAAAAAATTTATCGGATGAATTATGACAGGATCATGAAAATAACAACTTTATTAAAGCTGATCTACAACAATGGACACAAAAAAATTAGAAGAACTAAAAAAAAAGAATTTCATAATTCAGGGAATGTTATTATTCAAAGAAGATTCTACACCATTTGTTACCAAGATTCTTATCGACTGTCATGATACACCTGATGTATTTAAACATGTTTGTAGTATTGTTCAAATAACAGCAAAATGGATGTCTTGTTGTTAAAGATGGGCTGGACGATCATAGAGAAATACGTGGGGAAAAAAAGAATATATATGTGAACAATACATTCTTCATTTTCGAATTGAAAAGATTATTTGAAAACTCATGGATATTCTTTGGTATTATCGCGAAATTCGAATTTATGCAATTATATTAATATAAGTCGCCATCGAGTTGTGATTGAACAACTCAAAATCAATTTCTACGTCGAAGGTCAATGTAGCTATGAACAAACATTGATACTATTCAAAACGATAATGTTATGTTGTCAACTGACTGCGATCAGAAAAGAATTAAGCTGAAAAATGAACGAACAAATCGTGTTATGCAAATATAGATTGACATCAGTTTATGTCCATTTTCATGGCAATTTGATCTTAATATTTATGGTTCACTTATCTATGTATGCATTTTATCTTAATTCGATTAAAAACTAGACTATTGATCATTTTAACAATCTTACGAAATGTATATTTTTCATTTATTATCTTATATTAATCTATATATAACTCAGCTTTTTTCTTATTCTGATAATTTTCTATAAAAACAAATATTATTCTAATAGTTTAGATATATTTTTTTAATAAAAGAAATCCATTATGACAAGATATATCTATTAGTTGAAATTTCCTTACATTATATTCAACAATAATATTCATAAAATTAATAATTCAATTATGTTCTTCCTGTGTACAAGAAATTCATTGCAATTTCTATCAATCAACAAACATGTTTTTTTTGCTTTGCTATAATTACAGTAGTATGTAATAAACAACTACAGGAGTATTTTCTTTGTATTTTCTATTAAATACAAAAGAAAAAAAAAATACTTATATTATCTTGCTAAAAAAAAAGAAACCATAAAAACTAGTGACTTAATATATGATAATGTACACTAGAATCAAAATATCTAATCATTATTAACTCTATTGTCTTACCTTCATAGCATCAGTTCCAGCATATTGTCTACTAATAGCATCACCATTATCTGCCCACATTGTTTGAAAAATTTTTTTTGTATGACCACTAAGACCACCTTCATCAAAATCTAATAAACCAAGTTTTTTTAACTAAAAAAATTGAATGAAATTTCAATAAAATTAATCTATTGAAAAAAGAAAAACAATCAACAATCATACCATTATTTCTAAAATAGTCTTTGCAATAGCTGCTTGAACAACATTAGTTCGATCAAGACAATCAACACAATTAATACGAAATAAACTTATTTGTTCACTAAGAATCGTATTTGTCTCTGTATTTATCCTATTCGATTTATTTTACAAATTACAAAACAAGAAAAACAAAAGTAAAACTAAGTAAAACTAACCAACAAAAACGCATTTCTCGTAAAAGATTCTTTTCATCAAGCAATTGTAAAAGTGTTAAGACATTTCCAAATTGAAGACCTTTGCTAAATATAAAACAACAAACAATAATAATAATAATAATAATAATATTGATAAAAATTAAATAAAGAAGAATATTACCAAAATTCATGAAAATCAAATGTAATATATGATAAATATGGACTATTATATTTTGTAATATGTTCGTAAAAAGCATCACTGAGAATATTTTCTTTTCCCCAATCATCAACCAAACTAATTAATATAAGTTGTTTTCCTTTTATTCTTGATAATTCATCTTCAATATGTTTCACAAAAGCATCATGAGATTCATTAAAATCTAAATAAATTTTAAATTTAAAAAAAAAAAAAAAAAAAAAAAAAAAAAATAAACTCATATCTATAAGAATTATTGAAAACATATGAAAAGTTTTCTATTTATTTTTTAATTAAAAAGAAAAAGAAAGTAATTGATCTTGGCTTTTATTTATTCTTTTATTTCAATAATCTCAAGAGAATAAATCATAAGAATAAGAATTTATTATTCAATCTTTTTTATATGATTAATTTTGATAGTTATCATAAACAATATTTTTCGATTAACAACGACGTATCTTACTATCTTATTTCAATAATTATTTTCTTCTAGAAGTTAACCAAAATAAGAATAAATCTTAATCAAATATTATAATAAACAATTTATTATCATTTGAACTGTTTTTTTTTCTTTAAGTTCATCATTATAATATGCATGTCTATTTTATTTTATTTTATTTTATTTTTAACACTTTTTATCCCTAGAAAGACATTTTATCTCTGTCTACTGTTATTATTCTTTCTAACTGAGTTCCTTTTCTTGTGTAGAGCACGAATGT